GGAGAGACTATGGCGCAAAACCAGGTCCCCTCATGCATTCTCCCTCTACAAATCTGCCTTCCTCACCTACACCTCCTCCCTCCACGCCGCCAAGCAGGCCTACTTCGTTGACCTGATCAACACCCTCTCAAACTGCCCTCGCCGACTCTTCTCCACCTTCAACTCCCTGCTCTCTCCCCCCCCCCCCTCCTCCACTCAGTACCTCACTTACCGCCCACGAGATTGCCACTCATCTCCATAGCAAGATTGACGCAATCCGCAAGGACATAGTCAACTTGCAGTCTACCTCCCCATCTAGCCTCCCCCCCCTTCCATCACCCTCTCATCTCTCCCCTCCTCTGACCTTGCAACGGCACTGCCCCCCACCACACCCAAGGCCCTGCCTACCGTAACCCCCCCATCACTGCACTCCTTCAGCCCTACTACCACTGAGGAAGTCACCAGAGTCTTCTCAGAAGCCCGCCTCACTACCTGCCCCCTGGACCCTATCCCCTCTCAACTCCTCCGGTCACCCCCCTCTTCCCTCATCCGCTCCCTTACCCACATCTTCAATCTCTCCCTCGCTACTGGCGTCTTCCCCTCCCCCCTAAAACATGCGCACATCACCCCCATACTCAAAAAGCCCTCCCTGGACCCCACTGACCTCAACAACCTCAGACCAATTTCCCTGCTGCCACTCACGTCCAAGCTCCTTGAGCGCTTGGTCTACGATCGCCTAAGCGCCCACCTAACTGACAACAACCTCCTTGACCCACTACAGTCCGGCTTCCGTCCCCTACACTCCACCGAAACTGCCCTCCTCAAAATCACCAACGATCTACTAACCGCCAAAGCCAAAGGCGACTACTCTGTCCTCCTCCTCCTAGACCTCTCTGCGGCTTTTGACACAGTCGACCACCCCCCCTCCTCCTTAATAAACTACTCTCCCTTGGCATCAGAGACACCGCTCTCTCTTGTTTCTCGTCCTATCTATCCCAACGCTCCTTCAGCGTTTCCTACAACGGCGCCACCTCCTCTTCCCTCCCCCTCTCTGTTGGGGTCCCCCAGGGCTCTGTCCTTGGACCCCTTCTCTTCTCCATCTACACCTCCTCCCTTGGCAAACTCATACACTCCCACGGCTTCAACTACCACCTCTATGCTGATGATACTCAAATCTACCTATCCACCCCTCACCTCACCCCCACATTCTCCGCCCGCATCACTCACCTCCTAAACGACATCTCTGACTGGATGTCGCTCCATTTCCTCAAACTCAACCTCTCCAAAACCGAGCTTCTCGTCTTTCCCCCTTCCCGTGCCCCCCCCCCCCCCATCCTTTCCATCACTACCAACAACACCACCATCAATCCCGCCCAGCAAGCCAAGGTCCTTGGCGTCATTCTGGACTCAAACCTTTCCTTCCAACCTCATGTCAAATCACTCACAAATACATGCAGGCTCCACCTTCGCAACATCGCCAAAATACGCTCCTTCCTTACCCCAGACACCACTAAACTACTCGTTCACTCCCTGATTATCTCACGCCTTGACTACTGCAACTCCCTCCTCATCGGCCTACCCCAGTGCAAACTCTCCCCGCTTCAGACCATCCTGAACTCAGCTGCCAGACTCATCCACCTCACCAGCCGCTCCACCTCTGCCACCCCCCTCTGCCTCTCCCTCCACTGGCTCCCCATTGCCCAACGCATTAAATTCAAACTGCTCACTCTGACCTATAAAGCCATTCACAACACTGCCCCTAACTACCTCACCGACCTGATTCCCAAGTACCACCCTACCCGTACCCTTCGCTCTTCACAGGACCTCCTTCTATCTTGCTCCCTGGTCTCCTCCTCCCACGCACGACTGCAAGACTTCTCCAGGTCCTCCCCCATCCTCTGGAACTCACTACCCCAATCCATCAGACTGTCACCTTCCCTCCTCACCTTCAGGCGCTCCCTGAAAACCCACCTCTTCAGGGAAGCCTACCCCACCCTCACCTAACAGCCGCTGCCCTTCCCTCCTCCTACCACTCCATCCCCCACAGCCATTTCCTCCTGTACCTCTACCCCCTCCCTCCTAGATTGTAAGCTCGAAAGAGTAGGGCCCTCTTACCCCTTGTGTGCTGTTAAATAATCTTAATAGTCTCAATGGAAAGACCCCCTCTGACTGGAAACAAATAGCCAGACTATGGGACAATTCACTGCTCACTTAACATGCAAATCCTGTAACTAGTTCATTCCAGTAAAGGGAGCACCAGGTTATCTATTGTATTCATCTCTGCTTTACAAGTACAAATGAACAGAACATCAAAAATACCTTAACTGTGAAACCCGCTGCTTTCAGATTCCACAGTCACATACCATACCTAGCTTGAGGCGGAGGGCCAGCCAATGTTCGCATCTGTGACCGAGCGCTATGAAACCCTAGAGCAGCAGTTTCTACAGCGACATCTGCTAGCTCTTATGTCAACAGGGGAGCTCTCTAATGCAGGCCATAGACGGGTCGAAAACCGTCCGTTTTTTTAAAAAAAAAAAAAAAAAAAAAAAGAAAAAATCGGTCGTTCAATAGGCCGACGTTACCACCAATGGTAAAAAAAAAAAAAAAAAAAATAGGCCGATTTTCGTCCCGTCTACGGCCGGCATTTAATTACTTCTGTCACTTGCAGAGAGCTCCGCTATTATATTTAACATGAAAAAGTATTGCGGTTGCAACAATGTATGCATTTCGGATACAGCTGTTTTTATTTGGATACAAATAGATACATTGTTGCAACCACAATACTTTTCATATAAAATATAATAGCGGACTGGAATTAATTCTTCTTCTCCTTCTCCTTCTCTTCTTCTCCTCCTTCTCCTTCTTCTCCTTCTTCTTCTTCTTCGTCACGGCTCACACGCAAATTTTTTATCGGTAAAATGATCAACCGATTTGCCCATCATTGCCGACAAAATCGGCAGATTTTTTTCCAATTTTACCGATAAAAAAAATGTGCAAAAACCCCGAAAAAACGGACGACCAATAAACCCACTAACGGTGCGAAAATTGGCCGATTTTTGACCCGTCTATGGCCTGCATAAAGTCATAATTATCTATGTTTAATCCCAGGCCATCCATCCATCAGGAGTCTTCATGGGCATTTATTTTCTTTCATCTGGGGGAGGGGAGGAGCAGGTTTCTTAGCTAAGCACACCCCCCTGCCTGCATGCCTAAGCTAAGGACAGAAAGATTCTAGGAAGTAAATGCTACGAGTCATCTGTCCTTACTCAAGATGGCCACAGGCAAAGTGATCTCTCAACAACATAGAGCATGGAGACATGGATGGATGGGTGAGGTTACGTTGAATATTAAAAATGAATTAAACAGAGCTTTCCGTTTGTGGCGCTCAGATACAGATAAGTAAGTGTTTGACAGAGCAGGATAGACAATTCATCTTTTCCCTGCTCACTTCATTAAATGGCTCTCCAAATGGCACGTTATCAATTAAAAAATAGCCACCACTTTACTAAAGCTAGCAGATTTCAGAAAAGCAAATTCATATAATAAATTTAGACTTACAATTTGGTCTCATAATCTTTCCAGGCTTTGTCAAACGGCTTCTTGAGATCCTTGAAAGAAAACGGAAAAAAAAAATACATTCTGTAAGACTATGCTGTATTGTCATTTTTTGTAATGATTTGGTATTGATATCCAAAATATTTAGTAAAAAAAATTATAAGACGTAGCAATATGCCAAGGACTCCATTATATGTTTCTAGAATGGCCACATACAACTACTGAACGGTAACAAACAATACATATATAAAACATTCTGTGTGGTTAAAGTGGTTGTAAACCTCAGACATGAAAAATGAACAAAGTATATCCCTCTACAGTGTATACTTGTCTCAAATAAGAGCACGAAGTGTCATTTCTATCTGCTGCTTCATTCTTTCGCTATCTGCATGAGCCTCTTCTGACAGGTTTTCCTGACACTAAGCGAAAAATGGTGACAGGGAAGGGACCTCCAGCAGATTGACAGCCGAAGCTCTGTTCCTGTGTGCTGTGTGGAGGGAGTGTCTCTTCCCTCCAATCAGCTCTCAGAGCTCTCCTCACTGAGCTCTGCAGTGTGTAACTTCAGCTTTCCGCCCGCTTTCTGAACGCTCAGGCAAGCTTGATAAACTCAGCACTTTGAACCGATGTAGAGAAAAGAAGACTGCAGATAAAACAGAGCGAAGACACATCCTGACAAATAAGTTGTACCTGTTTATCACCTGAGGCTAATCAATTCACTGGTCACATGTAAGGGTTCATTTCTGGTGTCTCCAAGCTTCAACTGTATGGATTTCAATTTTAATTCTGTAAGTGGTCAGTCATCCATCTTAGCATGACAAAGCTGAGAAGATGTGAACAAAAAAAAAAAAAAATCTGCTCCCATGATGTAGCAAGAGCTTCAGTACCCTGATGTATGTAATCTGTACTGCTAATCGGCAAGATGAAGTGGAATGGGTACCAGGCACTAGCTTTTGGCCGCTTGCACACTGCTGTCTAAAAACTCAAGTGTTTTCATGCATACAGCCTTTTTTCTTTTTTTCATGGATATAAATGCGGACCATTGTTTTCAATGTGTCTGTACACACATGCGCTGCACATAGATCAGTAAAAAAAAAAAAAAAAAAACAACTTTGAGTTGCCCGGCAGTATTCAATATAAAATATTGCATTCCAGGAGGTAGAACTTATGTTACGTGGGTGTGCACCAAAACAAGAAAAAAAAAACCCTGAAATTTCTGCCAGGAATACTGATGCTCAAACATCAGTAATGTGTGTAAGTACCTTTTCAGGGTGTGTGAGGTGAATGTCAGGTGCACCTCTGTATGTAACTGCTTACCTCACACCGATGTGTTACTAAACCCACAACAGTACAATCAGTCTGTATATGCAGTAAAGCATGCTTGTTATACTCACTATGGGACCTAAGGGGTTAATCCTCCGCATTGTGTAAAAATGCTGTTTGATCCTCCCCCTTTTCCAGTACCCCCCTTTTATCTCCTGATAAGACATATTGTGTGGAGTCACTCTGCACATGCTGTTTGGTGTGTATTGCTAGAGGTTTTTTTTTTTTTTTTTTTTTTTTGGGAGAGTGCATGTGATCAGCACAGGGCCAATCAGCACTGTTCAGACAGAGGTAAGGGATTCTGCATCCTCCTAGAGGACACTGGACACTGATAGAAGTCACAAGACTGCTCTAACTGCTGATGAGAAAAGGTATTTAGCAGTTTATATATTTAGCAAAATAATTGCATTTCTGTGTTGTGTGTACTGTGGGAGACCAGATATAGTGATTGCAGGGTCCGGGGAGACCAGATATAGTGAATGCAGGGTCCGGGGAGACCAGATATAGTGAATGCAGGGTCCGGGGAGACCAGATATAGTGAATGCAGGGTCCCAGGGAGACCAGATATAGTGAATGCAGGGTCCGGGGAGACCGGATATAGTGAATGCAGGATCCGGGGGAGACCAGATATAGTGAATGCAGGGTCCGGAGAGACCAGATATATAGTGAATGCAGGGTCCTGGGAGACCGGATATAGTGAATGCAGGGTCCTGGGAGACCGGATATAGTGAATGCAGGATCCTGGGAGACCAGATATAGTGAATGCAGTGTCCGGGGAGACCAGATATAGTGAATGCAGTGTCCGGGGAGACAAGATATAGTGAATGCAGGGTCCGGGGAGACCGGGGAGAACAGATATAGTGAATGCAGGGTCCGGGGAGACCAGATATAGTGAATGCAGGGGGGGAGACCGGGGAGACCAGATATAGTGAATGCAGGGTCCGGGGAGACCAGATATAGTGAATGCAGGGTCCGGGGAGACCAGATATAGTGAATGCAGGGTCTGGGGAGACCGGATATAGTGAATGCAGGGTCCCGGGGAGACCGGATATAGTGAATGCAGGGTCCGGGGAGAACAGATATAGTGATTTCAAGGGTCCGGGGAGACCCGATATAGTGATTTCAAGGGTCCGGGGAGACCCGATATAGTGAATGCAAGGCTCCGGGGGGAGACCAGATATAGTGAATGCAAGGGTTCGGGGAGACCAGATATAGTGAATGCAGGGTTCGGGGAGACCAGATATATAGTGAATGCAGGGTTCGGGGAGACCAGATATAGTGAATGCAGGGTCCGGGGAGACCAAATATAGTGAATGCAGGGTCCGGGGAGACCAGATATAGTGAGAACGCAGGGTCTGGGGAGACCAGATATAGTGAATGCAGGGTCTGGGGAGACCAGATATAGTGAATGCAGGGTCTGGGGGGAGACAAGATATAGTGAAATGCAGGGTCCGGGGAGACAAGATATAGTGAATGCAGGGTCCGGGGAGACCAGATATAGTGAATGCAGGGTCCGGGGAGACCAGATATAGTGAAACGCAGGGTCCGGGGAGACCAGATATAGTGAATGCAGGGTCCGGGGAGACCAGATATAGTGAATGCAGGGTCCGGGGAGACCAGATATAGTGAATGCAGGGTCCGGGGAGACCAGATATAGTGAATGCAGGGTCCGGGGAGACCAGATATAGTGAATGCAGGGTCCGGGGAGACCAGATATAGTGAATGCAGGGTCCTGGGTTTAGTAACACTTTAACGTGTTGTATTTTGTTATTTAATTTGAGCGGCTCCTCATTTTAAAGGGAACCTGTAAAGACAGAAATCCAGGAATTGCAATTGCTGACCTTTCTTTAAACAATGTATCATTGTTCCACTAGACTGGGATCCTCTTATTACAGTAATATACTGTAGATACAAACAGCTATAAATGTTTCACTCACCCCTTTCACTCCCTTGAGATCTCCTTTCAAAAGGGAGTCCAGCGTAAAGATGACATTGTGACTCAGACCCTGGAGCTATAAAAAAAACACAAAGGAAAATGAAGAGGATTGCAGTAACAAAACCTCAGCAGCCTATTAACAATCAGAATGAATTATTTTGACTATATTAAAATGTAACAACAATTTCAATAAGCATTTCAGGCTACAGAACACGTTCACATGACTTACCCCAGCTTCACTGCAGAATCCAGAACCTTCCTCAGCACTATGGAAATCTTTGCCTAGGAAGATGCACACCCAGGCTCTCATTTTTCTGTTTTCAGCAAACCTCACTTTTGGTCAACCCAGATATTTCATGTCTACACCACATAAGCATTTTGGATTTACAATCTCATAAGCTACACTTGTGCCCATGGATTTCTTCAGTAAATATGTGCTTTGACCACACTCGGCACAGCAGCAGGTTCGACTTATTCTCACCCTCAACACCCAGCTGCACATACATTCCTTAGCTCCCCCCTTTAAATTCCATTTAACAGTTGGGGGTGAAGAGAATGTCCCCATATTTCTGGGTTTGGGCAGCATATGACCCATTCCTCTATTCTCATTTGACATCTGTGGTGCTTAGTGATTGGCTGCCTGGCACCCAACGTTTCCACTTTGGTCGAGGATGACAGTTCTCAGCTCTGTGTAAGCTCCAAGACAAGACCTGGTATTTACAAGGGCGCTCACTCTTCACTCACTAACTTCTGTAGTGATCGCTAGATGATATATTGAAGTTAGCTGCAATCCTAACTATAGGCAATTGCAGGCAATCAGTGAGCAGGTGAATGTCTTGTGATGAATACAGCAATTATAATAAACTAAATTTAAACAGGTACTTTATTCCGTCCATCAACATTAACTATTTTTAACTCCTTCGTGTCGGCGCCTCCTGGCCCTGTAAGAGCTTTTAGATGGCGGAGGTGGCCATTCAGGTCATGTGTCCACTGTGATTGGCTGTTACAGCAGTCACATGATCGGAAAGCTCCCGATGGCGAGTATGCATCGGGAGCTTACCAATCCCTGTCGGCTACCATGCTGGGAGAGAGCAGTGAGCCCACCCTCGGCATGGTAAGTTGTTTATATAGGGACACATGCATGCGGCCACTCGATGTTAAGGCCCCATATATGGGTACGGCCGGTGCAAAGTGGTTAAACTTTATGCAGATAGCATTAGTAAATAAACAGGAAGGTATACTACATTTTCTAGTGTGTAACTCTTTTACATTTCTTTAGTTGCTTTCTGGCCTAGACCAAAATGATGTCGTACATCCCAGGAGTCTTCCCTGGGCATTTTTTTCTTTCATCTGGAGGAGGAGCTTTCTCAGCTAAGCACACCCTCAAGCCTGCATGCGTGAGCTAAGGGTAGATGGATTCCGGGAAGTAAAGGCTACATGAATCATCTGCCCTTACTCAAGATGGCCGCAGCTAGAAATGCTAGGGTGGTGTTTTTTAAAGAGATTTCTCAAAATAAAGCATGGAGACATGGCTGGATGGGTGCGTTTGTTTGAATATTGCAAACGATTAACGATTAACTTTGTCCCTACAGGAAGACGTCATATGGTATTCTTCCTGGATCATGCATTGTGCATGCCTGCAGGGCCGTGTTGCGGCGAGATCTGTCGCTGGCCGTGCACCTCGGATACGGCCGCTGACCGATCGGTGTACCGGCCCCATTGCCAGTACCATGTGACCTGCTGTGACCAATCACAGCAATTCACATGACAGATGTATACAATGGATGGCTTCCTTTCATGGCATTCAATGTATTCAAGTGTGTCTAGCTGTGAATGGTCACAGTGATCATCTGCACAGGCTAGGCCAATCACAGCCCATCTGTGCCATGTTATTAGCCGTGGCCAATCACAGCTAATCACAACAAAAAAACCTGAATGAATCGATTTCATTCAGGTAAATGCTTGCTTATAGCAAAGAAATTCTTTGCTATAATCAAATTGTGTAAAAAAAAAAAAATACCGATCACTTCCTGAAAGTAGTACAATGTTACTGTGGTAACATTATACTACTTTTGTCATATGAAAAAAAAAAAAATCTTAAAAAAAAGAGAAAAAATGTAATAAAAAAATTTTTTTTTTTTTTTTTCGTTCTGTCACCAGTCAGTGTCCCTGATCACCACCACACCAGTTATATGATGATGCTGTACTGCACTGGTGACAGTATGTAAAAAAAGAAAAATTGTGAAAATGTTTTTTTTTTTTTAATTTCTTCATTTTCCAAGAAATGACAAAAAAATTACAACTTCAAAAAACTCGCCATGCCTCTTATGAAATACGTCGGACGGTCTACTTTGCAAAAAGGGGTCATTTGGGGGATATCTGTCCTGTTCTGACATTTTTGGAACTCAAGAAATTTGATTGGCCGTCAGTACTTTTTTCAATTTTCAGATATATCCCATAGTTTGTGAACTCTATAACTTTCCTACAGACTAAATAATAAACACTGATTTGGGCTATTTTCACCAAAAAAATGTAGCTGAATACATCTTGGCCTAAATTTATGAAGAACAATTATTTATTTGCGAACTTTTATAAACAAAAAGAAAAACCTGGGGTTTTTTTTCAAAATTTTCGGTCTTTTTTTTGTTAATTTAGCAAAAAAAAAAAAAAAACCCAGTGGTGATTAAATACCACCAAAAGAAAGCTTTAGTTGTGTGAACAAAATGATAAAATTTTAAATTTGGGTACAGTGTTGCATGACCACACAATTGTCATTCAAAGTGTAAGAGCGCTGAAACCTGAAAATTGGCCTGGGCAGGAAGGAGGTCAAAGTGCCCGGTATGGAAGTGGTTAAATGGCACTTTTAGTTTGTGATACTCAAATACAGTTACGTTTTTGACAGAGCGGGGCAGACAATTTATTAATTGTCTTTGCCGCTTTATAATAAAGCATTAGACTATTGGACACCAGCTGATGCAGGTACATCTGCAGAAATGGATTACCAGCCCCCTGCACCCAGAAATGGTGCAAGGTACAAGGATGGAGGACTTAGGTGAGTGTAAACAACAAAGTATTTTTTAAAAAGTATCTAGTCCGAAGATGGGCTTTAGATTTAGGATACGGATTGAAGATTAAATAAAGCACACAGAGTCACTATTTTTATGATTAATGGGACACTTTTTTTTCTGATACAACACTAATTATATATGAGTGTTTATTCACAATTATTTTTGAGATTTATATTTTTTACTAATAATGATGTGCAATTGGTTTAATAATTAATTTTTATAATCACTGATATGTATTATTATTATGAATTATTGAGGTTTTATAATCAGAATTAATTTTTTGGGTATTAAGTTATTATTATATATGAATACTTAATTTTCTCTCTCCAAATCATTGGTTAATGGTATGAATATACGTTTAAATTTTTTTTTTTTGTAATTAGATCACTTTTTTATATATGATTATTAATTTTAAGGTATAAATAGGGGGTTATAAAGTACTAAAGAGATATTATAAATTAATAAGGAGCGCAACACACTTTGGTGAAATAATATGTACACACAGTGGTAGTTATGTGTTGGATGTTTGCGATCCATTAGTAGTAAGGACAAATTTTGTTCGGATTTGTGCTTTAAGGTGGTTATTTGGTAGATATAGTTTGGCTCACAAGATATATAGATATTTGTTTATGTAGATTTAGGATATTGCTTTAGATTCCTTTTGATAGAACCTACTGTATACTAAGAGGAGTCCTTGACTGATTTCAGAAGTCAAAACTCTGTCATGTGTTCTACCTCTCCCCTGCAACATGCAAATCAGGAAGAAAAGCACATTTCACTGAAGCATATAGTGGAGAATCAGCTCAGACTTGGAGCTGAAAGCCACAATTGGCATATTGAGAGCCCCTGGATTCTGAATGTAGACCTCTCAATT